CGCTCTCTCTCTCTCTCTCTCTCTCTCTCTCTCTCTCTCTCTCTCTCTCTCTCTCTCTCTCTCACCATTTCGTCCCGCGGCTAGCTGGAGATTTCTCTCGTCCGCGTCGTGCGTATTTCTCGGCTAGCTTTTCCTCTCTCGAAATCACACCTTCGCCCTCCTTCTCCTCCCACGAGATAAGCGCTATCTTTTCGAGTGCCCGGAATGCTGATATGTACCTCCGCGGCTTAGCGCGATGGAATGCGGACCTTATCGTCGTGCCAACTAACAAATATTCCGCGCGCGACTAATATAATGTATAGCCGTGATGCGTGTGTATACGGCCGAGGGAGCGAAGAATAACGGCGGAGAGATTGCTCGCTGAAACACCGGCGCGCAAATATTTACCGAAATGTACATTATTCTCTCTCGCCGCCTCGTCCGGCATTTGACATAGTCCCGGCAAATGGATTCCCCGCACCGCGTTATGAAAACACGCGAGAGTACGGCGAGCGGGAGGAAGAAACGAGTCGAGAATGAAAGAGGACGCGACGCAACGGCCCGTAGTACCTCTTTATTAAACGCGGAGACACGTAACGTTTGATTATCGAAGAGGAGGGGAGGGGGGGGGGTAAAAACGCGCGCGACCGTTTTTTCATGGGGCACTCTGCAAGTTGTTACAAGTTATTTACGCTCGTGTAAACACGGATATGACGACGTTATTGTTACAGCGCAAAACCGTGTTTGTTGTTTGACGCAGAGTTTTATATAAAAGTGCCGCGCGTCGCGAGAAAAAATGAATCCTGCAGTTCTCGCGTAAATGTGTTTTTTATGCGCCGCGTATAACCAGATTGTGTATTAGATTTGAACTGATTCAAGCAGGACTGCATTCGGAAAATTCGATTGACGATGTTTAATCTTTATTTCAGTACTCTTTCTCATTCGGCCATAAAACGAGTGCGCGTTTCGTTACAATGATAATATAACTTTGCATTGTAGTATAAATTTGTTTTGGAAACAATAATGTTCAAAGGGAAGAATATATTATACTTTTATATTGTTTTATTTCAATCTATATTTTATGAAAAATTTTTACTCGATTTTCTTTCGTACCGCGCTCTAATATTTTCAACGAATTTTTCAACTTTATCGGCAACATTATAGAAGCGCGTTGAAGTAATGGCCGTTACGCTCGTGCTTCTTCATTTCGCAAATACCCGGCTGGCGAATTCCACGAGTGCATTACGAAAATATGCGTTCGGGAAAATAGTTTGGTCGAAGTCACGCCGGCCGCGGACTTTGCGCCTTTATTAAGGTATACCCGCGATAAGACTCGCGCGAATTTATCGCCGGATCGTGATTCACGCGTATGATCAATCGCGAATAAATCGGCACGTTGTCCGGCGATTTTCATAGTACAACGCAAAATAGCGCAATCTGTAATTTAAAATAAAAGCGAATTTGCATATCGGATTTAAGCAAAATCGAAGCGGAAATGCATTTGAGAATTTCATTAAATATCGAAAAATGACAGGTTTTCAATAGTACAGATGATTCCGGATTCAATTTTCTCGGGGTTTCAATGCATTAATAAAAACCACTATTTGATCTTCACGAATAAATCTCTGGAGGGCCTTCCAGGTCAGTGAAGCGTACGCACTTTCTCTTCTCGTTTCGAAACTGTTTGCGAGAAGCATGCCCGCGTCTGAGCTCGTTGTGCAGCGATATTTCAATTAAGGACGCCGATGCGTATCGGCTCGGCGTTGCAGGCGGCGCGATCGAAAAATAACCCAGCCGACGTACGCGAGTCGGGGCGACCGATAAAAATGATAATTGACGTTAATTAATATCGAGGTCGCAGCCTTCTCACGCAGGAACGATATCGCCATTAAAATAAGTTTCAATTACCGCGGGACGCCGTTGCGTCATGTATCTCAAATATATATTTTTGGGCCCCGAATGCACCGAGCTGCCAATTAAATTTGTCTCCTTGCGCCGATCCATCGTTAATCTGCCGCGCATCAACGTCTTGGGCGTGACATTAATCACCGTTGGCCGGAAACGCGTCGGCCGATAGTCGTCGTAACACGCGAAAGTTGACACCCGGTGATTTGTCTTAATTTAACGATTTATTTCATGGTTTTGATTGCATTACCACGCCGAGCGTGACACTCGCCATTAAGATTGCTACCGGAACCGCGTCGCAATTCGCAGGTCGAATCTCTTCGCGGAAAGATCGCGATTATTTACATCGGGCACGCTGCATTTAATGATGATGATCGTCACACTGCGCCTCGTCGCAAATATTTGGCGTCGCGTGTCGAAAGCACAACTCTCTCTCTTCTTTTTCTCTCTCTCTTCCTCTCTCGCGCGCGCTGAAAAAGATCAGGCATATCATTCTGATTTAATATCTCTTGTTTAGCGAGTTAATATCTGCAGAATTTGAATTCGCGGTATCTCTTATCAATTTGCAGCGCTTTACACTTGACTTTTGTGTTTAACTTTGCGTCTGCACAATTGTTTTTTTTTGCCTCGAATCATTTTCGAAACGATTCGTAATCCAACAACTACGTTACGACGTGTTACATCGCACATAATTATGTATTACAGAATTATCGCAAAGTTGCGAGCCTCGCTTGCAAGAGTTATCTTCACGATTTCCTCGCGAATAATTATAGTTACGCTCGCAAATCCGCTTTGCTCGCTAGTCATAACTAATATAAACTCAGGCGGATTATTCCCAGCGCGCGCTATAGTTTTTAAATAAATGCTGCCTCACTATAACAGATTACGTAGGAAGCCGGTATGTA